GATAGGACCCTTGTAATCCATATACTGCCCTGACATATGATTCCTTGCATGCAAGTCCAAACAAAATAAACGGGAAACCCAAGGAGGGGGAGGGGCAGGGGTGTAGATTTCAACTCTTGAAACAGTTTGATTTGGAAATGCCTCTTAATCTCTGTTCTCAATGTCACTTACAACCCCTATATTATTTCAATAATTTTGAAAGTACCCAACCATATGAAATACTAGGCTTTAGCAAATGTCAATAATCTCCCTTTTAATATGTGTAAACGATGCTGCTATTTCCAGACAAAGTACTCCTTGGATTTCAGTTATATTAAAAAATCCCTCCAAAAGAAAGTTACAACATGCATATAACAGATATCTTGAATGAAATAGTTTCCAACAAATTCTTCATGATGAACAAGTGTACTTAAGTACTAACTACTCACAAATTGACTTTGATGGGGTGGCAAAATACATCTCACATATGCTACTCCAAAACACTAACCAGAAATACCAGGTTAAGAGAATCGGTTTGAGGCCAATGTTGATTTTCTGTGTGGATAGTAATGGATAGTAAATTATGGTAAAGGAATGAGGCAGTGCACAAGTGAATGGCACATATATAATGCCTCTTAGAAAGACATATTGTTATTGCTATGCTCTAGGATGGGCTGTATGAATTTAGAGTTCATCACAATTGAAGATATAGCAATAATCCACACATGTTCACTATTAACTTTCAAAACCCAGTTTACCAGCCAAAACTAATGTCAATTTCAGTTTAACTGGTGGTTTGAGTTTGCTTGGTTTTCTTTTTTTTTTTCATTAGTAAAGTGTGATTATTAGGAAGGAACTTACAAAAAAAGAATAACCTAATGACTTTGTGGACATATAGAAATCACCAAAGCATGTACAGCAGAGCACCTCTGGTACGCGTTTAAAGAAGAACCCTGGTTCTTATGATAGCTCTTTTATTTACATATAAATGCTTGTTGCTTGACAATTTAGATAAAAATGTTACTGCTGCTCTGCATGTGATGTGGATTCAAGGTGTAAAACCACTGGACCAACTAATGGAGTCTTCACACATCATATCTTGTTAAAGAAGAGGTAACCCACTCTCAGATGGTATTACAATTCATCAAAACTGTAGTGTACAAAAGGTATGCATATAAACTAAAATGAAAAGTCTGACTATGCCTTTCTGAGCAGGAGGCAAAATGAAGTATTGATTTAAGATACATTAATAAAAAGAAAAAAAGGAAAGAACATATTTAAAACATGTACTTGAAAATGCTGGGGAAATAACAATGTACAATTTAATTCCGTATTTGGGTAAAATATGAGGTAATGGGCCAGGAATATTGAATTGGTTTGTAAATTAAAATCTAATTTCTTTCATAAATCTACACACTTACTCATGCCCCAACTCTTGATTTTGTCTTTAGGTACTTTGTATTTTTCCATGTAATTTTTAGAAAAGAAAATGTTGCCATAAATTCCAATAGCTAAAATGGAAACTGATGAATGGGGCAGTGAAAGATAATATTAACTACTGCTATATTTCTAACAGATGTGGATAATGTGATCATTCATTCATTTTACTATCTATTTCATCATCCACACATGCATTTTAATTAAAACATAATTTTAGTATCTTTTGTATTCAGTACATGTAAAATCAAAGGCATGAATTATCAAATTTTAAATGAGATGTGCATAAATGGAGCGGGGGAGGGGATAACTTTATATTTAAAGATATATATTGACTATTTCTATCTATCCAAGATTCAGGAAGTTTATTTCAATGCTTTGGCAGCTTTTTATACTCATAAAAGTGAAAAGCCGAAATCACTAAGCCAATTATTCTCAACCAGGGTGCCCTGGGACAAGGGGGTTCCTTGAGATCCATTCAAGGGTGCCACAGGGTGCCATGTAATGAAGGTGTATAAAAAAGATTCACAAGATAAACCTAAAGATTTCAGCTACTCAGTCAGTCTAATAAAAAAATCACATCTATCCAAAGAATTTTGCCTGAGATTTCAACTAGGAATTCATAATGTTAAACCATTCTGCCCCATTGTGGTCTGAGTCCTTTCCAACAGAAGAATTCTTCCATTATTTTTCTGTAGTCAAAGACTGAGAGCTGGCATTTTCCAAGGGGTGCCTCAAATCTAATGAGAGGCACCTCAGGTCTAAAAAGTTTGAGAACCACTGCACTAACAAATCCCCTGCCATTCAAACTACTTCTACTCTAACCTTCCTCTGTCCTCTTTGAAACAGTAGCTGGACTTTTCTCCTGAGGAGAAAGTGCTAAGCTTACCAAATCTGAAGTTATACCATGATAACTTGATGGCCATGATGTGACATGGTCAAAAGGCTGAGACCTCCAAACTCATTTCTCTTGTGACCAAAGATTTCAAGCCAGATCTCTAAAGGTGGCAGTCTGAAGCAAGAGGACACTTTATCATCATTCAGCATCTTATTATTAGCTCTTGTTGCACAGGATGTCAAGGCAATACAGCACTGTCGATCTGTGCCTAAAATAATAGTTTCATCTCCTAGGCCAATACCAACTGCCTCCTGAATGTTATTTTATTTTAAAATAGTTTTTCACTTGCTGAAATGTTTAGAACTTGGCACGGGGGGGAGGGGGGAGGTGGAATGAAGACAACAACAAACCATTGTTTGTTAGTTAGCCTGGATTAAAAGAAAATGTTGTTTAAGATTAGTAGCAAGCTGCAACCTTCTCCACCCAGCTGCATCAGAATGTTCAGGCTGCAATTTCAAATGTGTCTCTGCCTTATCTAAATTCCAGCATGACACATAATAAATAGCTTCTCATTTACTATCAACATAAAAATTTTAACAGCCTCAAAATAGTTGCTACAATACAGAAGGAGAAACAAAAAAAAGCATCAAATGCATGTTTTAAATCCCCACTTAAAAATAGTAAAACTATTTTCAGATTGAAGAAAGAACACATAGAGATGCATTGTTGCAGTCAAGGCAGTTACCTTGTTTTTTTAAAAAAAATCCTCTGTTCAGTCTAGTAGTATTAAAGTCAACAACTTGCTGTTTTACACTGCAAAAAAAAGGAAAAGAAAAGAAAAGGACTCACAGCCCTTAGCTATCATATAGTGTCAGATTTGCTTTAAAAAAGAAAGTATCTGATTTGATTCTCTACAGTGATTAAACATCTTTGTGCTCTGCTGAGTAGGGCAGGCAATCCCCTCCCCCTCCAAAAATGGCATCAAAGCAATCAAAATGGTAATGTTCAGCATGAATGGGGCCCCCTCCCCCACCTTCAAACTCTGCAGACTTTTCTCCATGTTAGGAAGAAACCAACACCCCTTCCTCACAAAATGGAAGCTTCCACTACCAAATTGAGAGTGCTGACAAATTCTGATTACAATAAACTGGGAGAGAGGGAGAAAAAAAAAGAAAGGGTGGCATCTCACCGCCCTAGGCGACGCAGGGTTTAGGAAGGGAGGGGAGAGAGGGGGTGCGGATGTAACAGGCACGGATTACTTTTATGCACCGATCACTTTGCAACTTTAACCACAACTCTGCCAAAAATCAGTGCCTGGCCCCCGCCCCCAGCTCTCTTCAAGAAGCAAGGCTGTTTGGCTGCAGTAGAAGATCCCTTCTTTTCCGGAGAAGAGGTCTGGGGTTGGGAAAACCCAAAGTCGCTGTCCAAGTTTGTGGTGCTGAAAGGGCTGCTGCATTCCGAGGGAATCGCAGTGGATTCAGCCATGGGAAAGGGAAAGGAGAAGGGATGATGCTGGGGTGGGGGGTGGGGGGCTCAATCTGGCTGCTAAAGGGGCTTTTGGAAAGCTGCCTGAGCTTACAGGGAGGGTTAGGGGTGGTGGGGAGGGGCGACTCGGATCTGGGAGCAGGGGGTGAAAGTTCTTTGCTATGCAGGGCTCAATCCGGCAGCTCGGGGGCTCGCTGTGCCAAGCTGCCGCTGGGCTTGTGTATCAGAAGTACTAAAAGTGGAAGGAGGAGGAGGAAGGGGGGAGGAGTTGTGTGTGTGTGTGTGTGTGTGTGTGTGTGTGTGTGGGTGTGTGTGTGTGTGCTCGTGTGAGCGAATACGTGTGCAGAGCTTGCAGAGCGCAGGAGAGGCGGGAGGCTGCTGAGCGTTCAATGGCATCTGTTCGTGGTGCTGAAAGCTAACAATCCCCCGCTCCTCTCCATCAGCTGACCCCGGCTAAACAAACTCACAATAGAGAACTTTCTTTCATCCTGGGAGGGGGGATCCCTGCACAGGGGTCACGGAAAACAAGAACGAAAATAAGAAAGTTTTGGTAGGGGTAGGGTGGGGGGAAGGGTTTGGAGGGGAGGTTTCTTACTTGTTTTTGTTTCCCTTCTTCAGATCCCCCCCTCCCCCAATCACTGGAAAAGGCTTTTTTTCAGCAAAAAAGTGAAAGTGCCTAAGTGAACTCGAATGAAACGCTAACACGTCAGATCAGACCAAGGGAAAGAGAAAAAAAAGCAAGTGCCAAAAAAAAAAAGAAAGAAAAGGAAAAGAAAAAAAAGAGAGAGAGAAAGTGATCAATAAAAATAAATCAGTTATGCCACCGAAACCAGACATGGCTCCAAACTGGGCTCAAGCCTCCTTGTTCCCCAACTCTTTGCCCAAAACACTGCTGGCAAGTCCAGAAAGTAGCCCCCAATAGCAGATTTTTCCATATCCCTAAAACATGTCGACCAACTCAAAATGGACGCCTCAATATTTTTTCCCCACACGTTTTAACTACTGCTTATCTTTTTACTATTATGATTAAAATAACTCTCCCTCCCCTCCCTACCCCCAGCAAGAGCTTTTAAGAAACGGATCTCATTTTGAAAATGTACATTGCCTCACTTGAGGCTTAGGAAAAATAGATGTTTTATTCTCTGCTCTCGGGATTTTTTCAGCTAACGCAGCCACTTTTCAGATGTTTAGAAAGTGCATGGTCGAAACAAGGAGAGAGGAAAGACAAAACAGAACAGAATGGAATCCATCAAATCCTTACTTGTTTTTCATTAAGAGCTGCTATTCTTGATTGCCTTTCGTGGATTTGTTTCTTAAGATCCCCGTTCTGCAAAAATGGCAATAAGATGCATATTAAAGGCAAAGTGCAAACTAGCCCCTGTCATGAATAAACTTACCACATCTAGAAATTGTTCAAAGCCCAGAGCGGTCCCCCAAAGCCATACAAAAGCATGCACACACAGAGAAACCCACCCTCTTTAAGTCAAAAAGCTTAGTGCAGGGCTACAAAATGAGATCTCTTACTGATAAAGTTTTTCATCCTGCTGTCCCAGCACAACTGCGCTTATTACCGCAGGGATAAAATACTGAAGGGGGCTTGGGGGGAAGGATCTGCATTTACCTGTGGATCTTGCTTCATCTGTGCAACTAGTTTCTATATATAAAAAAAAAAAAATCACCCCCCCCAAAAGGAGGAATTAGAAACTGTTTCAAGTTTGATGGATTTTTAAAATATGTGTGTGTGTGTGTGTGTGTGTGTGTGTGTTTGTGTGTGTGTGTGTGTGTGTGTGTGTGTATATGTGTGTGTGTGTGTGGAAAGGGGAGGGAGGGGGTGAGGAACAAAGAGGCAAGTAAACACTGCGAGTCAGTTTCAAGCAAAGCTCATAAATATTCAAGTCTCGTCCTAATCTCTCCAACACACACATCCACACACACATACATACACACACACACACGAACCAACCGCAATGTTCACTTAAGATCTCCACAACCCCCAGACACACACACACAAAAACTCAAGCAAACAAGCTGCCAAACTACTTTTGCAGAGTGCAAGATAATCCTGGGGGGAGGGGGGAAGAGGGAAAAGGGGATCTGTGTCGCCCCCCACCCAGGGTCGCAGTATTCCCCCCCCCCCAGTC